ACGGGGGGGGGGGTCACACTGCTGGAAGAACGGAACATACAGAACAGGGGCCGGACAGCCTGGACTCCATGGCTTAGGAGTGGGCTTCCTTCCAGCCTAGAACCCCTCAAAGTGGCTCCCTGTGCTGCAGTCAGCCCCTCCTGGGGGAAGGACCCCAGGCTTCATTCCACCTGCCATGGCAGCCTGTGCTTGGTCACCCTAAGAACAGCCAGAGTCCAGTGCACCCTCCCTCCTTAGCCTGTGTGAGTGTGAATGTCCTGCTCTGCTGGGAAAGTCTTCATTCCTTCTAGTCTTCTTCCTCCCTTCCCATCCACTGAAACTGTCTCGTCAGGTCTAATGAAAACACCCGTCTCTCCACTAAGAAGCATTCCATGAATCATGTTACTTGCAAATCAGGTGCATGAGGATGTCTGAGGCAAAGGCTCTAGAAGTAAAGCACTTTGTTCTACCTCAAGGTCATCTCTTACTAGCTAAGTGACCCTTGCCTAAGCTTCCCACCCTTCCTTGGAGATTCTGTATCAGTGAAAGATGAGATGAAAATAAAACAAGCACCACACTGAGCATCAACAGCACAACACCCTGAGTGTCCACAGATCACAGGACTGTCACTGTCTACATCTCTCATGGCTGCACATTCCTTGAGGTTACAGACTGTGACATTTAACTTTATATTCTTTTTTTTATTTTTTTTTAACCACTGAGCCATCTTTCCAGCCCCAATTTTATATTCTTAAATATGCAAGAAAACCCTACAGGTTACCCTTAACTTGGGCTCACTGAATTCAAACAATAAAGTACAAAGGCACCAAAAGCTCCCATTTGAATGACAGTGAACCTCACTCCGGTTCTGTGCTTGGAGTCTCAGCCACCTACATTCTGGGACTAAGTTTCTTCTACCTCCAGCTCACTGGCAAACCCCAAACACACAAAAGATGGGAGCCAGAGACAGTAAGGCACAGCCACTTCTCCATGGCCACAATGGACTGCTAACTAGTACTGCCCTTTCACTAATGTTTAGGCAATTTTGTTCTAGAAAAACATTTATCTGTTCAATCATTCATTCATCCAGTCACTCATTTCTACCCCATCTATTCTAAATTAAGGTAGCTTAAAACAATAGCAATGCACACATAGACACTGTATCACACACACACACAATTACAAATAAAACCCGAGGACCAATGATTTGTGGTTTGGGATAAAAGACAAAAACATAGCCCTACCATGTCAAATCTCAGTGTAAGAAACTCAGATGACTTGTTAGTAAATATAAAAACGGATGCTCAATACACTTATTTAACTCTTACCAGGTTTGAAATAAGAGGCCATAGCCAAGAACATCTGTGCTTTAGAAAGATGCTATTTGCAATATATTTACCCTCTCAGAATGTCTGCACCCACATTCCCAGTATACAGCAGATCAGTTCTTTCTCCAGTACTGCCATCTTCCCTCTACCCTAAAGTGCTTCCTGTTTCAAGAATGTTATCTAATCTGAATCCCCATGTTTTACATTTTCACAAATTAAAAAAAAAAAATCTTTCTTTTCCTGCAATGATTTTTACCTTCAGTCATGCAGAATACTCGGAGAAATGCCAGAAGTTGGGCAGAGATGGGCGGCTCAGTAAAATGTAACGCAAAAACACTGGAACTGAGAAGAGCAAGAAGCAAGATCAGTTGCCTTGCCCTCTAGAAGAGGGTATCCCTGAGTCTGCAGCCTCCCCGTGTCTGCAGCACTGATGGGGGCCTCAAGCAGAGCAGAACCACAGGAGTGCACTTGGAAAGCATGAGGCTTATGGTGGGGGAGGCCCTGAAAGGCACTGGTCACCTCCACCAGCATGCCTGCCATCTAATGGCCTTAATCTGGGGCCACCCACTCATGGTAAGAGAATTAAACACACCCACAGTCCTTAAGAAACATTAACAATAATTTATGTTGAGTTCACACTTTAATCATTAATCAAATATTGACAAGTTCAATAAAAAAAGGTCTAGATAATCCATTTTCATTAAGAATGGTTCCTCCAGTCCCTGGAGGGCTAATAAATCATAATTCTCACCTTCTTCATCATGTTATACCTCAAATGCAAGAAAATCTTAAGAATCTAACCAGAAATTCATGGAATTGCTGAGGAACATGACTTCATTACAGAAACTAATGGTGGCAAAGAATTAAATGAAACAAATTGATCCAGGTCATTAACCTTTTCAAGGTGAAAGACGTTAATGATACCAAAGCACTTATTTAACTTAATGAGGACCGCAGGCCACATCCCCCGGAACTGATGGTGAACGCTCCTTAGAGACATGATTATGTCTATCTGGAAGCACTGGCAAATCCCCATGCACCTCTAAGTCTAAGGTACTGTGTAACAGGGACAAAAGGATTGGACAGACTACTGTGGAGTTTTGTCAACACACCAACTAAACACCACACAGCTGAAAATATTGGAATACCACAGGAAGAGCCAACCAAGTCTACGTACGTTGGGATTCCGGCACGAGCCAAGACCTCAGCCTTCATGGCGTAGAGCCTGTCACTTTTACTCACTCCGAGCTTTATTTTCACTCTGTCATGCGAATTATTGTCAAAGAAAAAACCACTGTGGATCACAAATTCTGCATTTGACCGAGTGCCATAAAAAATGTAAATCTGAGATGCAGTAAAGAAAAAAACAGAAGAACATAAAACTCAGCATGTAGTCGTCACACAGAGCAAGGCAAAGGGTTAATGTAGTAAATGATACTTTACAGTAAGGAGACAGACTAGGTATAAAGCATCTATACACCCACTTGGTACAGCTTACTAAACAGAGGATGAAGGCATACAACCCTCCCAGCTACCCATGCTGTGAAGTCAAACACGTTATGTGCACTACCACTGGGCAGAGGAGAGGCCTCAGGGAGGCACTGACCCAGGATCCCAGCCATTGGGTCCTTGAGCCTCTCACGCAGTCTACCCTCTAGGGTTGTCCTTTGGAAGGCACCAAAACGAGGGGGTCTTCTGAACCTGGAGTTTGAATCAAGTCCTGTCAGAAGCTGCCGTCCACAGCCTGTGAAGCTCCATACCTAGTGGGAAGGTTTCTGAACTTTTCTGAAGAGCAGATCAGCCTTTCCTCAGACTGTCTTCACTCAAATGCAAAGTGTGTCTATATCTGTTCTGGTTTTATAGTACATGCTTGGATGTGGAACCCATAAAATGCAGAGACTTATTTTTATAACTGACCGAGAAGCTTAACTCTGCTTTCCCACCCAAATTATCAGATCAAACAAATTACAGAGTGTAGGCACAAGAAGACAAGTGCAGCTCTTCTGACCACTGAAATGTGGCTTCTTTTAAACATCCCTTCAAGAGCCAACAGATGAGGAAACAAAAGTAATGCAGTTTATGAAGTAAAAAATTTGTTTTCATGCCATAAGACAAGGTTCAGCTCACAAATACTGGTTTTCATATACTGGGTTAATTGTGCAAATAAGCTACATTTAAATCTTTTTTTCCTTTGTGGACCCAAAGTGCAACTCAAAGCACTTTTATGTCTCAAGATGTGCTCCAGAAAACAAGCAACCCTAAGGATCAATGCCTTTCTAAAGTGATCACAACCGCTCACTCCATGCCTATGGGTTGGCCACGCCTGGTTGACACGTGGCATGAAAACCCACCTGCTCTCCAGCCCGAAAATCTTGCAGTGCCACACACTCACAACGGTCATCTTCCAGGTTGTACCCCGTGGTGATCTGGGCAGGGAGAAAGGACAGAGCGGTGAGGCAAACGTGTCTGGGCTGCCCTGTCAGGTTTGCCTTTGGCAACAAGAGGACAGAGGTTCTAGAGGAACTTAAAGGGTAGTGCTGGAGGATGTCTAAAACCCAGCAAAGAACCACTGAGTATTTTAGTCATTTCTACTAACAGCAATCATTTGTACAGGGAGTTACATGACTGAAATAAATTTATCTTGGGAAAAGTCATTGTACTGATCACCACGTTTTGGTCTCAACCAAACAGTCCTTTATTACAAAATTGCTGCCTCTGAGTCATTCCCCTATGGCAGTGAGTCCTGGGTAAGGCCTCCATGGATGACATGAGATGCACACCCACAATGATTTTTGTGTCTATTCGTCATTTGGGGGCACTCTGGGGGACTTGTATTTATAAGTATTACTTTTACCTAACATCTGGCCAATGAGAAATCAAACTGGGGGCGGGATACAACTCCACAGTAAAGCACTGGTCTAGGATGTACACGGCCTAGGTGCCTGGTCTAGCAATACCAAGAAAGTGTGTTTTTCTATTACATAAGAATCAAGATGACAAGAAAAGTTTATTTCTCAATTATACACATTTTACTCTGTACATATACATACTTTGAAATTAGAATCAATTAAAACCTTCAGGTAAGCAAAGGCAAAATCAAATTGTTGTTTCTCATTCCTTCTCTTTCTGCTAAGAGATATAAATGTTTCTAAGCCTCTAGAGTACAGTAGAGAAAACTCCTCTGTCCAGACCTCAAAGCCAGGTCTCCTTCAGCTCTCCTGTCTTGGCTAGGATCTGCAATATCACACAGAAATACCCATACCTTAACTACCCAGCATTCTGACTCCCAAATTCCTCTGAATCTTTGTCTCTGTACTTGCATGTCCCATTCTCCCTTCCCATCTTCCAGGAGGTCAGGGGCAATCCTTAAATCCATGTCCACCATGTGTTAAACACTGGGGACGTGGATTTAAGGATTGCCCCTAACACATGGTATCTAACACCTGACAGTGCCTTCGAAAAGACTGCCTTGAGGCACAAACTCCAGGGCAGGCAACAGGGCCCACAATGCAAGTAAAAACTCCTCAGCATCCCATCCCTCTGAGCATCGTCAACCTCCAGATTGTATGGCTAATCCTTTTGAGCACACTTACTTCATCCTGGAGAATCAAAGACTCAAGACATCTACAAGTACTACTTGCTAATCCAAATATCAACCTGGGTCCCAAAGAGAGTAATGTTCAAGCTGAGGGCACAGCATTTAGAAGGGAGAATCACGCAACCCTCATCTGTAAACCCAACATGCCTGGATACAGAGGCGTGTAAACCATGTATATACAGAACTTTTCATGCTTCTAACCGCAAAGACCAATGAGGAGCCTGAAGGTGTTGGGAAACAAAGGAAGGCGCTCTAGCACGTTTTTACTCACAAGATTCTAAATGCCTGACTTGGATTCAAACAGTTCCATGGAGTCCCCGCCCAACATCTGATTCCCTGTTCTGACCAAAAAGTGTAGAAGGAGAATTTCCTTTGACCCTCAACTCCTTTTGGGAAAGCCGGACATGCCCGGCCTTGGTACGTAGACCTGCCAGCAGCACAGGCAGGAAGGAGGGGTGCTGGGGAAGGAGGAAAGCAAAGCAGAGAGCGCGGTTCACCTCCAGAGAGAAAAGACCAGTGCCGAGGGGTACTTTACAGGCATCTCCCAAATCAGCAGCAGTCACAGCTGAGAAAGTAACCTGTCTCCAGAAGCCCCACAGCAGGTGCCCCTCTTGCTCTTCTGCAAGGGTCAGTGTTTCAGGATGAGTGGCAGCCTCTCCATGTGGCACTGCCCAACTTACTTCTAGAGTGCTGTCAAAAATTCATCTCTACACACATAGCCTGACTCAGGCCAAAGCCCTCTTCATCTGCACTCAGGCTCCTAAAAACTGCAAAGTAGCACAGGACCTGGGCCTCTGTTTAGCTCCATGGTCCTTGGGGATACTGTCTGCTACTCCCATCAGTAGAGGCAACCACAGAACCCTTCTAGGCTGTTTGGGCTCCGATGCCAGCAAAGGCCCTTTACAGGAACCTTGGAAATGACCCACAGGCAGGAACCTGCAGTCATGGAACAGCCCCAACTCCACGTCCAAATCAGGAGATGCAGCAGTCGGGAATCTGGTCCAACGGCATCTCCTGACTCTGCTGCACTGGGCATTCATCTCCTCCTCACCCAGCTCCATGTGCTGTGTGTCCAGTAATGCCCCCCACCCACCTAAATCCACCATCTATAAATATATGAGTGCCCATTCCATTCCAGGTGGGAAAAAACTGTCTGCATCCAGGGGAAGAGTCTAGTGGGTGACACACATGGAGAAAAAAAATATCAAATATGTGGACAGCCTCCCAAGAGCCTCGTTACCTACTGGATAGGCACAGGGAAAAGAAGGGTGGTGGTGAGTGATTACAGAGGAAGCACAGTGGGCGTGTGCCAGCATACGCCAGGGGGAGCTGGAGCCTGCGTGGATGCATGACTCTCAGCAGTGGACTTGGGCACTGCGTCTGCAGCCATACTCCAGTTTAATTTTCCCATTCCACAGCACTGCAGGAGGAAGACTGTGATATACCCCCCACCCCCAAAGTAAAGAGGACTACAGATCATTTTAATCTTTCTGGGATTCCAAATCTCCTCCTAGGATGTGTCTATTGCTTTCATTATGTATGGAGGAAGGAATGGAGGAGTAATCATGTTCGTCAAATAAAATCTGAGAAAGACACAGGAAAGAGAAGAGGATCACAATTGAACCAAGGTTTCGGCTCATTTCTCTCCACCGCTTTTCTCCTAGGCACGTGTGCAATATATTTTAGCATCACTTATTCCCTACTCATGAATTCATTCAAAACACCAAGCACTGGAATGCATGAAGGCACTGGGATATGAATAAGACACACAAAAAAATCGCCTGCTTTCATGACCTCCCAAAATTATAGGCAGAGGCCAGGCGTGGTGGGGCGCAGTCTGTAATCCCTGCACTCAGGAGGTGAAGGCAGGAGCATCAGGAGATTAAAGTCGTCCTTGGCTACAAGGCCTCATCTAAAATTGACAACAGAGGTGTAAATATGCTGCATGGACAATGCAGGAAGCACAAGACAAGATGGACTGACAGGACAGAGTGGTGCTCAGCTTACAAAGGGTGACCAGGGTGGCCTCACCTGATGACAACTCTAAGTCTCTTGGACAAAAGTAGCAGCAAGTACAAAGGCCCTAAGGCAGGTTATACTGGTGTCAAGGACAGCAAGAAGCAGGGGGAGGTAAGACTTGTAGATGTTGAGGGTTGGGCAGGTTATGTAGGGAGACCCTTGCCTGCTACGGTAAAAACTAGGCCTGGACACTGAGCCTGGATCTAGGTATCTTGAATTTTCCAATACTTAAGCAGAAGGACCTTGAAAGACCCTTATTTAATTCTGCTTGACTGCACAGCAATCTTCTCACATGGGCTGGCAGAGTCACAGACACTGTGCATACCAGAACACACACAGTGGCCTATAAACCACTTCACAGTATCTTTCTCATACAAACTGAAACCTGCCACTTCACTTTTTTAACAGATAAGGCAAAATTTAAAAGATGCTTATTCCAGGCTGGGGAGATGGCCAAGTGTGTTAAGGTGCTTGCTATACAAACATGAGATCTGAGTTCAGACCTCTAGCACTCATTTGAGGGGGTTGGAGGAGTGACACAGCACTTTGTATCTGTAACTCCAGCACTGGGAGAACAATGTCAGATCAGGGACTCTCTGGCCAGCCAGCCTAGCCTGAACAGTGAGCTAGGATCATGTCTCAAAAGAATAAGAGCCAGACATGTTATGCACACTTTAGTCCAGCACATGGGAGGCAGAAGCAGGTCAATCTGTATGAGACTGAGGCCAGTGTGTTCCACTGGGGTTAAAGGGAGACCTTATCTTTAAAAACCAAAATATAACAAAACCCACTAGAGGAAGATACCCAGCAGCACTGTCCTCTGGCCTCCATACATGTGCATGGGTAATACCCACATCCACACCCACACCCACACCACAATGTATTTCCTACAGTTTAGGACTATGCCCTATGAACTCTCTGAAACAGGCAGCTAAGGACATCACTCTCATTCATCAGAATCCCAGCAGCGCTGCTCCTGATGTCACCTTCTTTGCTGCTGCTACTGCTAGCCAGACTCCATATACCAGGGCTTAGGGCTACTGTTTGAGGCAGACAGTACTGCAACTTCCTACTGAGTTCCTCTATGAGTCAGGGCAGGCTGACGAGGATTACCAGGACAGACACATAGCCCTTGCTTGAAAAGTAAAGCCTTCAGTTCAAGTGCCTTATTTTAAAAAGGTTAACTATTAATATGTATGAAACACAGCTTTACAGTTTGAAAATTGCATTTCTTAAATCCTGCCACATTAAATTTCCCATGAAACCTTGTGACAATGGAAACAGTACATGATGCTGAGTCAGATGTGTGGGACAGACAGCCCTGATAGGAATGTGTACTGGCTTCCTGAATAAACTTTCTGAAGGCAGGCAGTGTCTTAGCCTGGACTGTGGTAGGTCACAGGCCACACAAAAAGTGCACAGCTTTTTCACACTGGCAGACAACATCAAAGCCCAAAGTTGGCATGAGTATACGAGGCTGTCACCAGCAGCAAAGGACAGGAGAGGATGGAACGGAGCCCTTAGTCATAGCTGTAGCCCCCAATGGTCTAGCACTCGCTTTGTAGACTAGGCTGGACTCAGTCTCATGAAATTCACCAGCCTCTGCCTGATGAGTGCTGGTATTGAAGGCTTTAAAGGCATGTGCCACCACACCAGGCTCGTCTATCTTCAACTATGAAAATGAAAATAAATAATTTGGGAAACAATAATTGAGTTCAAATAAAAAGGGAAAAAGAAAATACAAGGGCCAGATATTAAAAGGTACTTGAAAAAAGCTGAAATTTCAAGGTTACAATCACTTAAAAATATCTCTGACGAAGGGAACATTTTTAAAAAGACAAAGAATGTAAAATTATATTCATTAGTGAAAATGTAAAGCATGCTGTCATTTCTTAGTATTGCTAATTGAATTAAGCATATCTAAATTAAGGCAAAAATGTAATTGTAGCAGTGTAACTATTCCTCCTTGCCACAATTTAAATACCCTTTTTTTTTTCTTTCTTCTTTTTTTGCCTTTTTGAGACAGGGTCTCCCTCTAGCCCCAGCTGTCCTGGAATTCACTATGTAGACCAGGCCGGCCTTGAACTCACAGAGATCCACTGCCTCCGCCTCCCAAGTGCCGGGACTAAAGGCGTGCAGTACCACGCCCGGCAATTTAAATACTTTTAAGGCTTGAAAGACTCGCCCACATTAGCAGGAGGGTACTATCTTGAGCACTGGGCTTACAGCACCTGTGTTCTGGCTGCTGTATGGATGTGAAATGATCATCTGCAGCATTTTTTTTATCTGTTTATAATACTGGTAATAACAACAACAAGAGGTAACACTGGGAAAAGAGGAACAAACCCAGCCAAGCCCGCAGACTAGACTAGCACAGTGCTGAAAACGCCAGAACAATCTGGATTTAATGGCCTTCTACCTATGATCACTAGGAAATCCTCAGCACTGTGAGAAAGCTCCCGTATGGAGTTATTTAGGGCCCCAAGAAAGCCGAGGAACAAGCCATGCGCCCTCCTTCCTTGCCGCAATAAGAAGATTCCTGTCTGTCACATCTCCGCCCAGTGAGGAGGCCACCCCTGCAGTGCCCTGAGCCTAGCACACAAGCCTGCCCACACACAGGGCTTCTGAGCAAAGCAGGTCAATCACATGGCCACGGGTGGTGAGTAGAGCAGGGGGAAGAGGGAGCTAGCAGAGAAAAGAAAAGGATTATAAAAGAGAAAGTCAGAAAGATGAAAGATTTTCTTCAATAAATTAGTACCCTTTTTAAAGAATAGGGAAAAAGAGGAATTTTGGTTTAGTCTGCAGTCTGGTAAGATAAGAAGATGAACTAGTGAGCTAGAACTATGGCTTAAACCACACAGTGCAGTCTGAGGTGGTTCTTGAAGTAGCCTAAGATTCAAGTTCTGTTTTTAGTATGAGGTTAATACTGAGAGAGAGAACAGTCAGCTTCCACTGGAGGGAGGCAGGATGAGCAGCAGTCGGCTTCTGTTTGTCTTCCTCGTGGAGAGGGAACAGGAGAACAAGAAGCCTGAGTGGACTGCCCACACAGAAGCTCAGCAGCCTCCCAGACTCAGCCCACGGCGGAGAGCGTTACCAGGCCATTGGTGTGATTGCACATGTCCCATAGAGGAATCAGGGCCAGGGTCACCCGGGAGCCGTCCTCCGTGGGAATTTGGTTTTGTCGTGTCATAACAGAAGAGACTGCCCACCTGTAACAAAAAGAAAAAAAAGAGTGAAACATCCAAAAGTTGCCTGTCGTGAGAACTAACTCCGGGATTGGGGGGTGTCACTTGGAGCCAGATCCAAGACTGAGGGACGCAGAGAGGGGACTAGCAGGAAAGAGCCAGAGGAAGAGTCCGTGATCAGGCTGGGTATGCAGAAGGAGAGAAGGAGGCACGAGCAAGGGTCTCAGCCTTGCACTGGGTGGAGATGACAAAACCTCCGTCCCCACAGCCAGCTCCTCTCACTCACGTGCTGATCTGCGCCTACTTGGAGCCTCACTGGAAAGCAAGTGATATAGCTCCCTCTGATCAGACATCCTCTGAGGTTGTACAAAATGTGGAATGAAATTGTGTATTACATTGTACAGTGCATTAGTTCTTTATGTTAAAAAAGAAGTCCCCACTTTACACCAATATAATTTATTCAAAAGGGAACATAATCCTTTAACCACACCGAGCACTAATGTTATGCTCAAATACACTTTGACTGCCTCAACCAAGCTCCCACCATAGGCTACAGCACCATTTCTAGGCAGCTACTGAAGCGCGGGTGCTTCTGGAAGCTGCTCACTGCTGCTGCTGGGACCACCTCAGCCTCAGTGCAGAAAGTGGTCACATCAGGCCGCTTGCTGAAGAGCTTCCATCACCTCCAGATCCCAGGTTCCCTCAGAAACCACCCCTGACACCCCCGCTCCTTACACCAACCTGTAGTCCTCATACGTGAAAGAATCCTTCAAGGGCAGTTTGTTGGCGTGAGGATGGGTCTGGGAATGAGAAGTTTTAGGAAGCAGAGGTGAGGAAAGAAAAGGGAAAACAGAAATCAGTCAGCAGAATTTCATTATTTAGCTGCCTAACAGATCCTAACAAGAGCCAAATGAAGCAGGAGGCGTCCAGCCGCGCGACTGAGGGATCATCATGCTGTTATGCCCTCATACATCACTGTCAACTTAATTTGTTGTGCCCAGCAGCCGCCATAAATCTGCTCCTTCATATTTCGATCCTAGAACCCACAGACACCACACAAAATACAATTTAAGGTGGACTGACTTCACAAAGGCAGGCAGCACACCCACACTGTGAGCATCTGCTCATGCCTGCAAACCCAGGGGTGCGATCCAGTCTTTCATGGGATCTCAGGCCATGATGGTGGCATGGGCCCTATGACTAGATTCCAGTCTCTCTGTATGTCACAGAAGGCAACAATCCCAAGCACTTTGGTGCGCTGCAGGTTCTTTCACACATCTCTAACTTACATCACTTGATGGAAATAGACTAATTTGCAAATGAATTATTTATACTGCAATCATGGACCAAGCACAGAAAACCAAGCAAAGTAAGGTCTCATCAGAGTATAGAGTAAGGCTTACAAGTAAAATGAAGATAAAACAAATCAGCATTATTTAAAATTCTTCTTTTTTTTTGGTCTTTTTTGAGACAGGGTCTCCCTGTAGCCCCAGCTGTCCTGGAACTCACAATGTAGACCAGGCTGGCCTTCAACTCACAGAGATCCGCCTGTCTCTGTCTCCCGAGTGCTGGGATTAAAGGTGTGCACCACCATGCCTAGCCTTCACTTTTTTCTGGACAAAAGAATATTTGATAAAAATACTCAAAACTTCACACTTGGAAGGAAATTTTATCCGATTCTCTCCTCAAACCCCCTCCCCATTTGGAACTTCCAAGCACTTACAAACTTTGTCCCAGTCAAGATATTAAAAGCTGTAACAGTATAACTTCAGTTTCAATTACCACCTGACCGGCAGATCACAATAAGTGATCAGATGAACACACAGTTGTTTGAGACAGAAATGAGATTCTGCCGAGTCTTTGCACACTGTTAATGCACGGGTTCCGTGCAGCCCTCAGTTTTTACTCGATGCGCTGGCATCACAAGCACGCTGTAATTTATCATCGCTCACTGTAATGTACTCTCTGGCACCTACACAGGACAGTAGGGGATGAGGTAAAAGTGGCTCAAACCGTAAATCAATTAGAAAACAAAAGCTTATGCTCAGTGCACAATTTTAGGCAAATTATATATTACAAAAGGCTGCCAATTGGGTGCTAGCTCCCAGGTGCTTCTTTCCTCTTCTTAGCCCACTTTTAACCCTTTGGAAGAAAAGCCAAAATGCAAAAACCCTTTAAGATGCATGTTTGGCCAGGGGTGATGGTGCACACTTGTAATCCCTGCACCTGAGACGCTGAGGCAGGAGGATCAAGAGTGGGAGACTTACCTGGACTGCAGAGCTAGACTCTGTGTTCATGTAAATGAAACAAAATTAAATGAATATTTGTATTAGCAAAGTGAAGTTATATAGATACTTTAATGTGACATACAAAATAGCATGTCATGCAGGGACAGTTTTGGTTGATTCAGGAAACCCATCTCTGGAAGGGGAATCAATATATGAGGGTCAGCCAGTGAAGGTTCAAGAGTCTGGAGAACTTAAGTTTTTCAGGTGTTTCCTTTGCAACAAATGTGTGTAACCCTGTGCTGCGAGGGCCCAGGTGTGCTTTCCACTTGTCATTAATGTAACTGAGGCAGAGTTCAAGTTTCTCCTCCTCCAAAACTGATCTGGTCTAAGAACAGAAAAATTTCAAAACTAAAGAAAGGGATTCTATCTTTAAGTTTTCCTTTTGCTTATCATAAAATGAAAGCTCACATTACCTTTGAAATATATATTGAAAACTTTACACATTGAAGATGTCATTTTTCAAAGTCTAAGTCATGGAAAATGTTTTGTTATTTTTAAAAAATATTTTAATTCACTTCAACTACGGAATTTACTAGGGCCTTTGAAAGTTGGTAAATTCCTATGCTAAATCCCATAAATACTGAAAATTTAACACCCTCCTCCTCAAAAGTCTGACATTAAGTAGGAGAAAAGATGACAATTTTCAGTTTTCAAAAGGACTTGAAGAATCTTCCCACAGCTGAATCTTTAAACAGCCTTAGACTCTACAAGAACATGGGTGACCTGCCCAGGGGTCAAGAAGGAGATTAACACGACCATGTGCCCTTCCTTCAATTTACATGGATGTTTCCTACACAGCCTCATAGCCAGATGAAATCACAAAGAAAAAAAAAACCCTCAAAAAAATGTATGATCGCATTTTTCAGATAGAATTTGACTATTACTTTTCTGTATGGTTACATAATATTTGCAGAACCTGTTAGAAATAGTTGCTCTCACAAAAACAGGGTGTGCCCAGCACACGGATTCTGGTATAAAAGCTACCGCCTGACACAAGCACTTAACAGTTACACTGAAGCAAAATGTGACACTGCTGGCAAGTGGCTGCCACTTCAGCAGGGCTCTCACTGCTATGACGCCAGCTCCACCTCCTGGTGGCACAGAGTAGTGAACCTCTGAGCTCCACAACTGCTCCCAAGAGCAAGTCACAAGCAGCCCTCCCCGAGTCCAAAACCGCCGCGCTTCAGCTTCACAGAAGTAATATATGTTTTCCAAGTAAACCCCTATCTTTCATCTAAAACTTTTATATAACATTTTACAAGGATCTCAAGGCAATCTAGTATGGAAAATGATCCATCTATGAAAAATATTTAATGTTGGAAAAAAAGCCTTATTTTTGAAAACAAGAAAGCTAAGACAAAAGTCCATTCTAAACAATTAAGACTTTTCCCTGCTCCCAAGTTAAAATTTTAAAATACCTTCCAAGAATTCATTTGAAGTAAACTGTATGTTTCTACACTGTTCTTAGACGACAATGTCTCAGCTCCTACCACGCAGTGAGGATGACAGCATCCCTAGCCGGCTTTGCCAACAGAGATGCTTGACCCCGTGCTCAAGGGAGAATGTAAAGTTGAAACAGAACCTCCCTCTTGGTGATCAACTGATTTCAGCTGCGACTATGGCTTCTGAGACACAGATATGTACAGTGCAATGGGCACAGATGTCTTCAAATAGACACAGGATCAGGCCTCCGAGGCACAGGGGCTCAACAGCAGCCTGCCAGGGAGTCCTGGCAAATCACCAACTGCTCCACCCTAAACCCCGATATCACAGCTTCAGAAACTAGCCACAGATTTCCTTCAGAATTTAAGTGACAGATGTTTTGTTTATCTCTTGAACCTAAGTATTTGAGGCTGGGGAAATGCACAACTATGATAGCTCACAATAAGAAGCACAGAGTTGCTTTTAAAGAAGGTCTTAAAGTCAGCAGTGCTGATGCACACCTGTCTGTGCTCCTCTCAGAGCTCAAAGAGTGGAGGGCAGGGATATGGGGGGTGAGCTGTACGAAACCCTATATCAAAAGAAAAGTTGTTAAAAATTAAATAAAATTAAAAAGGATTCCAGAATCCTTACACAAAGCCAGGTGACCTCCCATTCCCTTCTCCATCCAAAGACGGCATTCTCCTAGAGACAGCAGTGCTGTGCCTAGTACAAAATAATCACTACGTTTGGGAAAGATTAATATCTAAAATTGTTTGTTTGGCTTCAATAAAAAGGAGCAATATTGCTAAATATGTAAGTATGACATTTTGAAGAATTTACCATCTTGCATGGGTCTGGTAGTGATGCTTAAGGAAATTAAAAACCACTACAGTCAGCATATCTGGTCCTTATTAAAGTTCTGTCTTGAACTATCACTCACATAAAACAAAAACAAACCAAGAAGAAATTTAAATAAAACCTATGGATTATAAGTGTTTGAAGATGAAAAGAATGAATGATATTCTGGCTTTAAAGATTGATTTAGCATGCAGCTTCTCTTCACAGTCCCTTGATGAAAATGAAATCTCCCTAACAAACACTTAATAAAACCTGTCAATATCTCTGAAAAGAAAAATGACACAAATGCATTAAGTATTAAATACCCTTGGAAAAAGTCACATATTCCATGAATTTTTGATGTACTATCTTGACATTAATGTAAAACCTTGATATTTATAATTGACAGATATTTAATAAAGTATAAAAGAAGATGGCTGCTGTGCAGCATGCAAATTCCTCGGGCTGAGGAGAGACGAGGGATACGGCGCACTTACACTAAATAAACAGTTACTGTGTGCCGCACGCATCAGCTGCCGTCTTATTTTAGGCTCATACAACAAACCTTTGTGGAGACTCAAAATAAGCAGAATTCGTTATTATGTGAACTCCTAATCCAGAAACATTTAGTATGTGAAGCAGCTTTAAACACTAATAGTTCTGCACAGGAACAAATACATTTGAATCAAGGGTTGCTTTATTTTTAACACTGAGCAATAAGCATTTTTAGATGCTCTAAAATGCACTTCCAAGGATAGGGGGAAAGGTTATGTCCTAAACAATTCTCAAAGGAAACAAATTTGGCCTAAAGATTGAAAATGCTGTGACAGAAAAGAAAGCTCTGAACGAAGGGGCCTAGAGGACAAATCTTCCCAAACCCCACCATCACCCTTCAGAAGCATCTCTCCTCTGCTTACCTAGACTGATGTGTAAGGAGACCAACCTGAATACATGAAATCGCCACTTCAGCAAGATGTTCAAATGTGCTAAAAGGGAAGCTGATCAGTCCATAAAAATGACTCCTAAATACTATATTTTAAACAATTTATGTCCTGCTGTAATGCATAATCAATTACTAATTCTCAAAATACACATGGTAGTTCAACAACTGCTCTTCAACAGCTATAGGGACGTACTTTATAAGTTGTACCTAGCTTGTTCTGATAAAAACCCGTAACACTCTGTAATTAAATTGATCTGACTAAAGTGTATCTATTTTGTTTGACTTAAGCACATATTAAAAGGCACAGTAG